AATCAATTTAGAATAAGATTGGGGCCATTTTTTACTTAAAACACAAAGTAGTTGTATTAATAAAATTTTGCTATATTTATTATGAGATTTATAACATATAAATTGATTTTCCGAAGATCTTTTGTTTTGTCAATTTGGTCCCTTTTTGCAGCACCTAGCCCATATTATTATGTATTAACTCATCAATTTATTGAAATGCAGAAATATTTATTATTACACTGTATTTATTGATTTACTTGCAAACAAAACATTAACCAAGATAATCGAATATGCTATCAGGTTCGTGAACACTAACGATAATCTGTCAAATCTGATAAAATATTAGTCTGTTTTTGTTATATAGATCCAATAGTTTATAAGTTTTCAAATATGATAACCTCTCAATATTGATACGAGACCTATCCACCATGCATATCGGTTTTGGAAAGTTCAAAAGTATTTGTTTATTCATCCGCGTTATTCAGATTTGGAAGTAATTACAATTATACTAGAATAACAAGTAAGCAAAAAGAATATTGATTAATTAAGGCTTTTAAATAAGCTATTCAAGTTTGCAACTACTTTATTAATATGCAATATCTCAGTTCATTCAGGTGAGTTAAGAGTGCGAATATAAGGATTGTTATTAATTTACCAACGCTTCAGGTTCTGGAATATTTGTTACTGTTGAGCCTTCCAAAACCGATATGCATGGTGGATAGGTTTTGTATCACTATCAAGAGGTTATCAGATTTGAAAACGTTACAAATTATTGGATCTATATAACAGAAACAGACTTGTTGAACTAATTTTTTATCAGATTTAACAGGTTATCGATTTTGACATGATCGGTTTTGGGTATTACACTAGATGAGCAAAAAGAATGTTAATTAGCCTAGGCATTTAAATAGGCATTCAAGTTCGTGAAAAATGTATTTACCATAAAAGATCATAAAAATTTGTAAATAGCACATTGATAAACTATTTCTATATGAAAATTTTGTATATGGTGCACCAAGTCACTTCACGCCAAATTTGGGATATGTAAATGCTTTTTAGCCAATCATAATGCATTATATACTAATTCTGATTGGCTAAAAAAAATTAAATAAAAATTTTAAATTTTATTAAATGCCAAATTTTTGAAAACATTGATTTTATTCTTCACACGTACGTACATACTTAAAACAAATCATTCAATATGAACGCTGCAAAGAAAAAATCTATATTTCTTAGATGAAGAATTACAGATTTTCTCTTTGCGGCACTCATATTTAATTTAATTTGTTATATTGTGCTAATTTTAGTTCATAAGGAATCTATTTAAAAATAAGCTATTCAAGTTCATTAACTATTTATATGTTTTCATTTTATTCGTATTAATTTTAGTTTATAAGCATGAAGAACATTTATCAAACTCATGAATATCTACTATTCAATTTGTTTTTAGTTCGCGTTCGTGAGTATAGAGAACATTTACAATATTTACCTAAGTTTTTAAAATAAGCTATTCAAGATACGAATTTAGATTTTTGTGCCTTATGTCATATCTAAAACATGTTTATAATTTAGGGTTATGTCAACTGGACAAGACAATAAAGATTTTAAGCATTGCATGGATTATGGTCCACAAAAGTGGCCTAATGTATCAATGATAAAAAGGGCATTTTCAAGCGCTTTAATCAAAAAGTAGAAATGTATTTTTAATTATTGATCATTCCGGTCAACAAACTTTGCGTTTCAACCTTTTTTTTGATCAAAATTTATAACTACTAAATACTAGAACAAATATTATTCAAGTAGCTTCATACTTTAATTACGGGCTTTCGCTATCAACACTGTCATAGTATTTGATTTTTATTCAAAATCTTTAAAAACTGTGTGCTACTTCGATGACTAGAAAATCGCATTTGGGAAGATGCTTGAGAATGCCCAAGCCAGGTTACTTAAAATTTAAAGTTAGGATCAATCTAGACTATAGGTAAAATTGGATATTAATTACAGATGAATTACTTCGAGTTAGAATTTAGATTAAATTTAAGGCTGTTCTTAAGTATCCCTCTCTGTGACTTATTAAATTATCTAATTGAAAATAGATTGTTTAAGCCAAAAAAGGGATGGTTTACTGACACAGCATTCACATAATTTATCTTCAATTTCTTGAAGCACAATAGCTAATGGGTTTATGGAATTGTTAATTAGGTAGGCCTTTGCCATGCTGTTAGAAAGATAAGTCATGTGATGCTGTGTCGGTAGACTGTCTTGTCAAAAAAACCTAGATTTGACAGCCATTTTTTTCATATATTTACCATAATTGACTAAATTTAAATTCATATATTTCCTACTAGAGATGTATCTTGCAAGGTAAGCTTAACATATATTCACATACTTCATGCAAAGCTACATCGTGCGATTTTACGTGAGAAATGTGATAAATTTTCAATTTAAAATGAAGGGTTTAACTAAATTTATTTATATCTTGCACATGACATATAACTTATACCTCAGAGATTGAAGTCATGGCAAGTTATATTGAAGAAGCTGTTTGAAGACATAATACCTGGTTTCAGATTTAATAATAACTCCGGATTTAATAATTTATCTGGAACTAGGTATAATATCCGAATCTAATATTCAGGCACATTACCTCTGTCTAGCATATAGAAATAATACATATCATTATTGTCCTGATCTTATGATTAAATCCGGATCTAACAACAAAACTATATCTTATTATTAAATTAGGATTTTGTGATTAAATCCGGATCCAGGTACAGTATTAGCTCTAGCTTAGTTTTAATTTAGAGACAGGCTGTTATTATACCTTTTTTCTACCAAATTCGTATAATTTGATCTATCATCTATATCTTATGATGTTGTGATCAAATTTTGATGATTTTGGTACTATTTGAATCGTTTCATTGAAACGATTCAAATAGTATCAAAATCATCAAAATTTGATCACAACATCATAAGATATAGATGATAGATCAAATTATACGAATTTGATTGAGATACGAATTTGGTAGAAAAAAGGCATATTATTATTATTATTATTATTATTATATAGTAACCAATATAGAAAAAAAATTGAAAAGTAGAAAAAATACGTATAATAATAGTGAAAGATGTCTTATGCATATGTTTACATACAGTATATGCTTTAAGTGAAATATTGATTTAAAAAATTTTATATATAATAACAACTGCTCTCTAGTCTTGATATGTTACGAGAACTAATTACATATATACATATGTATAATTACAACATTTGCCATTTGCCCATTTAATGATCGCTCATACCTTTGACGATCAGTGATTATCATTTCATCAACCCAATAAAAAATCCTACAAGCGAATGCACATAAAAATATGCATCGGATCACCAATATTTGTGTCTAATAATCTTGATTTACTATCATTTTTTAGCAACTGCAGCTACACTATAGGCCCTATTCAGCGGTTCAGGGCCCTTTGTCGAAAAGACCAAAGAATATCGTGAAATTTTCCAAAAACCAAGTAAAAAGTATTTGATACCTTCAAATCAAATACTTCAGAATATTTGCGAAGATTTTGTTCGTAAAGAAGAGGAGAAATTTATAAATAGTTGCGCGATTTGGTAAGTTTTTAGACAAACCAGAAAAATCACGAGGATTGACCAATCGATTTAAGTGGGATCTGGTCATCACCAAAATGTAGGGCATATAAAGAAGAAGAAATATCAATAAATGATGTTTGTGAAATACTCACTCCTTTTCCTTTGTTTAATACATGGGATGTGTGTTAAGATAAATTCAATTTATTCTATTAGATCGTTACCTGAAAAGAGAAATCAATGTATTATTTTTTCTGAAAATAGGGGTGAACAGGGAAGTATGGCTAGTACAATAAGAAAAAATTAAAATAAAAGTGCACGTTGTGCAGACTATACAATGGTCACAACGTTAAAAGGCGCAAGGTCTGAAGTCGGATTGAAAATCGAAATTGTCTATTCAGAAACCGGTCGTCCTAAATTCCTTTAGCCAAACAACATAGAGATCATAAGATTTTCTAAAGACTCTATTGATGCAACAAAAAGATTATCTAAAAATAAAAGAGCATTTAAAGGATTACGATTAAGGAAGAGATTGGCTATTTTCACAATAAATATTGCTGATACTATGTTAGAATTTTGATGTATGCGTAAGAAATCTGGAATTTACAGGAACTACTTGATTGAACGAGTACTGATTCTATTAAAGCTTTTGTCATCAGAAATTGTTTACCGTATTATCCATGTTTTTAACATTTAGATCAGCAATTATATGCACTATACGTAAATTGCAATATAATGAGGAGAATAGGGACAGTGATGATGATGATTCTGATGAAACAACCACCACTGTTTCGACCTCACCTAGATCAGACTCTCACCGACCGAAAAAAAAGCTCAAAATATCCAAATAAAAAATAAAAAATAAAAATTAATACTGCATTTTCAGTGTTGTCAATGGACATGGACACGAACATGGACATGGACTGTCCATGGACATATAAAAAATATGGACGTGCCCATGTCCAAATTATGAACATGGACATTAGATATTGTTTATGGACTGTCAATGGACTGCCCATAGACTATCCATGCCAATAATTTGCTTGGACATATGTCCATGTACAACACTGTTATATATTCCACAGGCATGTCCAATCTTCGCTGTCTTTTGATAACAAACTAACACCTTGTGTTCTTCAAGTGCAATACTAATGATTTTTCTCCTAATTCAAGGTTGTTATCTGGAAGGGTCAAGAATTCAATGTGTTTTTGCAAAACAAATACAGTCAACTCTCTCTAAGTGCAAGTCAGCGGGCCAGAGAACTTGCAATTAAAGAAAATTCTCTCTAAATGCAAGTTTATAAGTTAAAAAACATCTTGCACTTAGAAAAAAAAACTTTTAATTAAATAAGTCAATTTAATTGGTTAATAAAATATCTTGCAATTAGAGAAAATGATTTTATATATGCTGGCTAAAAAAAACCTTGCACTTACAGAATAAAGAACTTGCATTTAAAGGACGTGCACTTAGAGGGGCTGTAAATGTCTATTTAAAAATTTTAAATAAAAAATATAAAAAAAAATAAATTGGATCGATCTGAATCTGAACATATGAACAAGCTTGTGATTTTTACATTAGTTCAGGGTTCGTAGAAGCATTACATAACTGCCTATACATAGTACTCATAGACAAATCTTCTGAATATGATTTAGAATTATTAGTCTTTGATGCTAATTGATTCAAGAAAAAGATCAGTATAACGTTCGGGAGCGATTTTCGGAAATATAAGGTTTTATTATAGTCTACTGACTCAGGAGAAGGAATCAGTTATGCACCTTCTTTATCGAAGTAACAAATAACATTGGTATGTTACTGGGTTTTTTTTTTTTATTTCTTCATCTTTCTATGGGAGGTACCACATAAAACATATGTATGCTTTATTATACTTATTATAAAGTTTATTGGTAAAATTTAGAATTACGTAGAATTGGGGAAAGATTTTTGGGCCGTTGAACAAATGCCCAATTATTTAAACGGCACTTCAATAAGTTTAGTTTTATTAATAATCAAAAACATATATATGTATTATAGTATATTATATACTGTATTAATGTGATTTTTAAGATCGAATTTATTTCGATCACAAAATAACAGGATTGTTTCTGTTTATAACTAGAGATGGGCACCATGCGCATGAATGCATGCATGCATGCACCATGCATGCGCATGGTCTGACAACCTATATACCAAAATGCCCATACAAAAAAAAAAAAAATTAAAATAAAGTAAAACCCAAATTGCAAGCTAGTAAAATCTGCTATGTAGATCGGAAATCCACGTTTATATCTGTTCTCATAAATTTTGGGATATCCAGTAAAATTAACTGAATAATTGTTTGATTTCGGTATATCGATATTTACTATTTTATTTTTGTGCTTGGATATTATATTAGACTCAGTTGCTATTACTTTGAATATTTAAGATTTACCTCAGATTTTTAAAATTTTTACTATAGATGAACAAGCTAGAGGTTCTTTAGTTGTTAGATCAACCGTTTCAATATTTTTATCTGATTCAATAAAAATTCATTATAATTTATATTATTTATATTATATAAATAAATGAAATTCTTTTATAGGTTTTACTATGATTTTGTTAATTATAATTTTCAATGCGGTTTTGATAAAAATTTGGTTGTTTGGAGTTATAACTTGAGTTATATTTTCTTAGTTCAATCATATTGAACTTTTTTTTATTAACGCCTCTCATATAATATATTTATTATGAAAAGCTTATATTCAGAATTCTTTTTATGTTTTATGTTTTATGTTTTTTTTTTTTTTTTTTTTTTTTTTTAAAAAAAAAAAAAATCTGTTGGTTGGCAAGAACAATCTTCGTTATAAAATTTCGTACAGACTAAACACACCAAACATACTGAATATACATTCAAGCAAAACCTAATTTGGATGTGACATTGTAGTATCGTTCAGAATACATTTGCAAAAAATATATACAGCATCATTATCGCCAGATTACCAATAACGCTCAAATCAAAAGTTTCAAAAACTTATCAAATTGACAAATAACCATTCAGCCAATTTTTTTACCGGATGTTCCAAAATTTATGAGAACAGCTGTAACTTTTTTTTTTTATATAAAAGTAGAATTTGCCTAGGGATCTTAATCGGTCTTATAGTAATTATCAGCCAACTTTGAGTAAGGTTTGTAAGAAATTGGTATTTTTAACTAGTATTTGTTCAATAAGTAAAGTTATAGAAAAGTTATTTCTCTAAAACTGTCTCTAACAGAAGTTTATTGGTTTTTGCATTAGCTTCTGAGTAATTTAGATGGGACCGATTAGAGACCGATCAACAAAATTTTCTCCACATTGTTCGGTCCATCTAAATTGCTTAAAAGTTAATGCAAAAACCGATAAACTTCTATTAGAAACGGTTATAGAGAAGTAACTTTTCTATAACTTTATTTATTAGATGAATGCTAGTTAAAAATGCTAATTTTTTACAAATCTTGCTCAAAGTCGGCTGATAATCACTGCAGGACTGACCTTTGTGATAATTATAGCGGCTTTTGCTAGCTCACAACTGAGGTCAAATAATGTTTATTTATTTGCACATATGCACAAATAAAAGTTTTCTTTTTTTTTTAAGGTCTTGCAAATAAAAAAAATATATATATTCTGTTTTAAGTGCGCAAATAAATAAAGTTTTTTTTTTAAGGGCTTTCACGTAATGCAAATTCCTAAAACAGATTATAATTCGTATTAGTACGTATACTTATTACCTTTTGAAACTTGTATTACCCAAAATAATTAAAGTTAGTAGTAATTTCTTTGATAAATCGTGTAAATATTTGTCCACATGCAAAACATGTTGGTTTAACTAATTTTTTTTTTACAGTATAACGTTAATAGATTTTAAAACTTTTTTTTTAATAAATTCTAAATTGATAATTTAGTGCGTAATTGTTTTTTTTTTTTTTTGAAAAAAAAAAAATGCACGATCCAATTTGGATTCACTTCGTTAAACTAGGACATGTAACCGGATTCAAACAAAAAAGAATAGAATACAAATATTGTCACAACAAAATTAATGATGCCCTTAGAGCTGCACGGACACATTTTCGGAACTGTAGTTTAGTTACATTAGAACAAAGAAAAAATTATTTTGGTAATTCGTACGAAGAAGAGGAGAATGATAGTAATAATATATCTGATACACCTTCTCCAGCTGCATCAACTTCTGTATCAACATTAGTTGCATCAACTTCATCTACCGATACTACTTTAGTTGCATCAAAAGTTCTGGAAATCGAATTACAAATTATATTATGCTTGATTGTATATCTAAAATAGAGCAAAAGTCACTTGAATTAAAATTTGCAAGGTCAATCTTTAAATGTGGCTTATTTTTGTCCTTACCAGAAATGGAACTAATTAAAAAGGTGTGGAAACAGGCATGGCCAGCATTCAAGTTGCCTAGTCGAAAAAAACTTTCAACCACCTTACTAGATAAGGTTTACAATGAAATCAAAAAAGATGTTGAAATGTTGATCAATAACGATAGCCAAAACTTGTGCCTTATATCAGATGGTTGGTCCAATTTAGTACAAGAACATTGAAATAATTACATTTTGACAACACCAAAACCAGTTTTTTATGCAGCATATCCAACTAATGAAATGCGTCAAATTGGAGAAGCTATTGCTTATAATTTAGAAAAAATAATGATCGAAGTAGGTATATCAAAGATTTCAGCAGTTATTACCGATAATGCCTCCGTAATGAAAAAAGCATGGCGTCTTTTAAAAATAGATTATCCTGAAATTTTGTTCTTAGGTTGCATTGCACATAGTTTAAATCTTTTAGTTGGTGATATAATGAAATTAAGATGGTGCTCAAACTTATTGAAAAATGCAAAAAAAATAGTTGTATACTTTCGAAAAAATCAAATTCTAATGGCCGTATTAAAACGACACCAATTAGCTATATATAATCGACGAATATCTCTTAAATATCCAGTTAAAACGTGGTGGGGATCTTCAGCAACCTGTTTTAATTCGCTTGTTCAAAATCAACTTGCACTTAAACTAACTATAACTGAATTGGCTCACGATAATCATACTACAATACCTGAGTCTATAAATGACATCATAAAATGTGAGAGTTTTTGGAAAAATATTGAATCTTTGCTAATCATATTAGATAAATTAGTTACAAGCATCGCTACTTTTGAGTCAGACACACCAAGATTAGCATTATTTTATCAGTGGTATCACGAACAATTAGAATCTGATGGTAAATAAAATAATATATAAATTATACTTACAATTGCTATTTATTTATATAATAATTTATTATATTATTTTAGTTTATGTTTTTCCTGCAGTAGGTTCTGTGATCAAAAATTTATTAAAGAATAGGTGGAAAAAAATATATCAACCCGTATTATCAGTAGCACACTTATTAGATCCATGATACCATAGAAAAAAACTTCCTGCTAATGGTACGTTTAAATGGAGATGCAAATTAGCTCATCAGCTTTATTTACTAACAAAATTAGTTTTTACTTTGCTAAATATACAAGCTTGTTGAGCCGTTTTGCATCTCTATATCTAGAGTT